CCCTTCAACAAAGACTGCCACAGAGTTGTATCTTGTGCACTTACACAATGCTCTTTGGCCTAGCCAAGCTAAACTAATACCATCAGAAACATATAACCAGCACCCTTACAGTTCATGTCGTGGGTTAACGGCCAATCATTCACAGCAAAATATTCTGACCTGCATACATATTCATTAGGCATGACATAGCATGTGCTAGCGTCCTTGCCTCACGGGATGCACTCCAGGATGATCTTTTACAAAATTATGGTCAAGTTCAACTAATGTATTAGTGACTTTCCTCATGAGAACATCAAGGAAACTTCAGAAAAAGATTGAAAGTGTACACTGGAGCAGAGCTGGAGTTACACAACTTCCTGTTTTGTTCAATTTGGCCAAGTTCCAAAGACCTGGACACAGCCAAAGTGTCCACAAGGAAATGTATACCAGCTCATACAAGTGGTTGTTTTTCTTAGTTTCATAATGTCACAGGAACACGATTTACAAACATTCAGGGAGAAATGTGATATATTGCAAGCTAGTTAGGTACAGAATCTTGGCAGGTGACATGTTTAAAAACCTGCTTTCCTTCTCTCATGAATAAACATATTAGAAAAAGTGTAACTGTCTCCTGTGTGATGTTGCCTAGGACCCAAACTCCCTTCAACTAACTATATGTACTTACATAGTACTATTCGGCACAGGTTTATTGGAAGGCTCCAGACTAGCTTCAAATACTTGGTTAAAAGTAGTATTTCCAACAGTCATTGCAATCTATAGGTAGAATACATTGTACAAGGAACAATACTTTAATATCACACCATTCAACGGGCACAATAAGATATTGATTGAGCTATGTTTGAATCAACTTGAATCAAATGAACAAAGTTGTTGGAAATTGAGAAATCTATCTGTCAGCCCAGTATAAAAAAAACTTCCTTGTGGATTTTGAAGGACTAGTAATAAAGGTTGGACTAAATTATGAATTTGAATTGGCATTGTATTGTCACTTTGAAGGAGTTGTTGATACTTACAAGAAGTTGCGCTGTTCCAAGCCTGTCCAGTTCCAAAGATTGCACCCTTGATATGTGTACACCTAGCTGCCTATGGACTCCTGAACATTCAATGCATGTCAAGATACCCAAATTGGTTGATAACCACTGTGGATCTGTGGGGTCACAGGTCAAATAAACATGCTTTCAATCATCACATGGTTTTTAATTCTTTGAAATTCTTTGATTAATTTGTGAAGATAAATCGAGAGCAGATAGTGCCACAAAGAGCTTTTGTTAATTAAATCAATCAGTCAATCAATAAAAAGTGTAATTGATCCAAAGCACAAAATTAAGGCATTTGCTGAATTCATAAGAAAACAAGTATCATCCCTCATTCTGAAACATTCCAACTTCACTCATGCATGATTGTGTGAATGATGCCCTATGAAAACTAACTAGAAATACGTCCACTTCGGTATATTTTGCCAACAATCACTATATGGAATGGGCGATCCCGTCAAAGAGCACCTCTAAAGAAAACATGTTTTCTCTGATTTTATCCGTTCCAATAAATATGGAAGCATCCAAATTGAAGGTAGTGTCATTTGTCTTCAGAGCTCAACTATAACAACTATTTGGCAGGCACCCTCATGCATGCCAAACAGTGCATGTAGCCATTGTTCGTAGCCATTGTTTGCCATGCACAAGGGTTTATCCACTATGAACACAGGGTGAGGGCCCCCTTGTTTTTTCTCTGTTTTCTCAGAATGATGCAATCTACATTCAGAATTCACATCTTGGCATAAACAGAAAAAGCCCTTTTTAGCTTGTTATAGCTGAGCTCTGAAGAGAAATGATATTGCATTCAATTTGGATGCTTCTACATTTACTTCAGTAGATAAAATCAGAGGAAACATGTTTTTCAGGTGCTCTTTAACACACACTATCAGAGTCAAGCAAGGGCTCTTTGGGTGTCCAAATACACAAACAAGCAGCCTTTATCATTCATATGCAGACCTAACACACACAGTCATTCAGACTTGTTGGTGGGGCCCCACATGTACCTGGTGCTGAGCAGTCACAGCAGATGTCATTAGCTGGTAACCTCCTGACCTGACGGACGATACCCTGGGTCAGCTCCTGTAGGCCCTTATTGGGGATGTCTGATGGTGAGCTACTGTCATCAAAGACGGCATCCAGTGCGTACTTCTTGCTGTTGTTGAGCACCGATATCCACTCAGCGGCCTCTTCTTCTGTCTCGGCCATGAAGTGGTATGTTCTGTCCCCTGGGTGGGGGAGGGTAAAAGAGATGAACTCATGACTGAGATCTCTTGATCTGAATCCATCCAAATCCTTGGTCAATTTCAAATACTGGTCCCTTGGCCCCTCCCCCTACTGACAATAAGCACAGCTGCATGTACAGCTTGGGAAGCCTGATTCAGACACAAACAATCATTAAATGAATTGTGTATTCATTCACTTTTTGCCACGTTTTGATTTCAAAAGCAGTAAACGATGCAGAACTTCGACAAAAATTCTTCCCCTTCAGGACAAAATGAGAATCTCAAACAGTCCTGAGCACTTATAAAAATTTTTCTATTGAAGATATTGGAAAATAGAGGGTTGTGGGTATCAAAGCCCATCCAAGACTGTTTTTGAGGTTATTCTCAATGACCCTTGGAAAATAGCAGTACTTAGAAAAGGGCATTTGGTTATTGTATGGAAAACAAAACCAGCTGATCTCATTAAAAACAACTTTTTGTCTCTTTCAAGTGAGCAGAGAGCAGTGAACTATCTGTACTTTCTGTTCTTTCCAAAACGGAGAGATGAATCTTTGTACAAATAGTTTGGACCAGAGATGTAATGTAATACTCCGTACATGTGTGACTGATATTGAAAACACAACAGAACTCAGTACTCGATATGCAAAACCATTTATTGGTTATTGATCATTCTCCCCTTTTTAGGTAATTTGAAGAAACAATGACAAATGCATTTCTACTTTATCGTTATAGAAACATACGCATACATCAATTATCTCATGCACGGCACATTCTTCACCTGAGGCGTGTACACTGTACATGTACCAGTACAAGTAACCAGACTGCCTTCTGTGGCAATCTGAGCAAACAAAGAACCATCCTCCCTTTTTCCACTTGAAGAAAAAGCTTTTCCCAAGACAAGGACATAATGACTCAGGGGCCAGGTTAAATTGAAAAGCGGTGAGTGATTTGTCCATGAGCCATGGTTGAGATAGATGGGTCACCTTCCAACATGGGCAATTTCTCTGCAGCTTGTCAACCTAATCTTACAATCTCTAGTGAGTAAGCCATTAGCCAATTAAAAAAAAAACAGTTCCCAGGTACACTTATCTTTCACTTTCACATTTTCCGTTTTTTAATTCTGAATCCACATGTATATTATTTTTAGCACCAATGCAGTGCTTAAAGTAGTAATGTTAAATACAGCCCTTATAGCAAGTTTTATAAATTACTTCAACATTTCAAATGTCTATTTTTTCTCAAGAATGAGGACAAATAAGAAACCAACATGTGAGTTTTCTCATGAGGGTAACATTTTGTTTTCTTTGACTGGCCTAGGATTTTTGGGGGAGACTGAGATAAATTGGGAACAGGATACTATCTCCTACCTTGTGAAGTTTATTGCTGTTGTAAAAAGAACTCCTGTCAGACTAGAGATGGGGAAAGACCTGACAGACCAATTATCAGCTGCCCAGAATCCCGAAAGCAACTAATGATTTATGTTTTAAGATTGTGTCAGAGAAACACTCATGATTGCAAATGCTTTTAAAGAATACCACAAATTTTTAGTGCTACGGAATTGGGCAGACAAGATGAAAATATTTAGATGTTTGACAATTATTTGACAACCTTAAAGGATGAGGTGGTAAAAAATTTCTGGAGGAAATTTGTAGGGAAAAATTATACTGTTTCAAAAATCTGCTGTTACCATCATCCTGAAATATGACAAGAAGGTACCCCCCCCGGTAACAGTGCATCACTGTAGTAATTTTATTCAGCGAGTTGAGGGACGATTTAAAATTTCCAAGAAATGTGTTACAAAGAACCTTCCTGACTCAAGTGTTTTCAAACACTTAACAATAGACAAATATACTTATGGCACATTCCATGCACTTCAGAGATCTGTGTAACAGAAAATGGTGCTGAGTAAATTTATATATGCAAAATGAAAGTCAGCTGTGAACCAACCACATGAATATCAAAGTTAATAGGGTTTTTCATGAATAGCAGGTAAACTGATTTTGCTGAGCAAAGATTACTTTTAGTGCTTTGAAGATTTCTGTACTTAATCAGTCTATGACAATGGGCCGCTGCAGCAGATTTAAAAAGATTTGAAACAGTTCAGGTGGATGACTGTCTAGGGAATGGATCCTCTTGAAAAAATTGACCAATCTGTGGGATCCAAGAAGAAATCAACTTACTTGCTACGAGGTCAAAGTACTTCTTGCTCTGCTCCTCTAATGAAGGCTTGACTTGACAGGTCAATAGATTCATCCGGACTGGTGCCTTACTGACAGTGGAGTGAGCAATGCACAGATATCCGTCTCGGATCTCACACCGACGCTTCTGGTACACCTTGCGCAGGCCTTCCGTCCGTTTGTGTAGGAAACCAGTCTTCTCAGTACCAAGCGCTTTGTCAGTCTGGAGTTGGTGGAGGCTGTAGCCTTGCTTTTCCGGTGGAGTCTGGCAACCAGACAATTCGAATAAATCAAGTTACTGTTACCCAGGAGGGTAACTGTTGCTAAGCACATTAATTGGTCAGAGAGCAGAAAGACGTTACCAACTAAAATGCTATCAGATGGTTGGTTCATGTGACTGGTTCCCAGCTGATTATGCTTAACCTGTAGAACCATGTCTTAGCAATGATGCTAAGGGAATTGAATAGGTTCAACAAAACCAATGTGATTACAGAACTCTGCTGTAAAGAATACACCTCGGCGCACACAAAATGTTTGGTATAAAAGTCACTCAGTAAGATCCATTCTCAGTCACTAATTCCCAAAGTTTGGTTCCAGCCCATTCAATCCTCTAGCGGCCTGCCTGAGGAATGTTTTTGTTGGAGAATTTTTAGCCAACACTTCCAACTTACACACACAAAAATTAAGTTACAAATAACTAATACCAGAATGCAAACATTTTGTCCAATGTAACTTCATTTCATTAACATTTCACCTTTCCAGCAAAATGAGATGAAGTTTCCAGGGACTTTTCTTCAGGTCACTGCTCAAGAATCGCATCCAACATGCAGTGTTGGTTACCACTTTTAAATTGGAACTACATTGTACAATAGATACGCAGGGAACCATTCTATAGCACTGAAGCCACAATGTCACATAACTGAAGTCAGCAAAGTAAGAAATCAGACAGGCACGGTACGTTGAAAACAATTGAAACTAACAAACTATAGCTAGATTTCTGCGAATTAAGTCACAAAAGTTAACATCATGTACTGAGTATTGTCTGTTGGGATTGTTTGAGGTAACAATCCTCGTCTCTGTAGCGATGACATAAACAAGATTTCCCACAGAGTTGCCCGGGTTGCATGTACCATACATGCCAACATACTTGGTGGCTGGTCTACATGGCTACATTTACACACATGCAAATGAACCTGGTGTTCTACAAATGCTACAGACCATGACATGTATTGGCCATCGTTCCTTCATGAGTAACACTTTCCTTAACATTTACTGGGATTGATGCATTGCACTTCAGTTTGTTAATAGTTCTGTGCCATGTGCTAAGAATGGTCATCGAGTAGCAAGTACAAGGGGTCTAATGTGTGGCATGTGACTACTCACTTCCTTATCCAGCGACAAGCTCGTCTTGAGGAGGTTTCTCAGGTCCATTAGTTTCTTCTTCTCCTCGTCATGTCTCATCTTGATCTTGTGGACGTTCTCTGCTAGCTCATCAATGTAGGACTGGAAATGCTCAATGGTCTTCAAGCCATCACGATAGAAACTGAGACAAGATGAGGAAGATTTCACAATTAAAATGAAAGAAAGGACCGTACTGGGGGGGGGGCAAACTACAAGTCAACAAGGAACTCAGGGATGATTGTGGACTGATCCCTGAAACAACAATGGTAACAATAATAAAAGTCTTGTTTTTCTACTTGATATAAAAACAAAGGCATTTGTTTCAGCACAAACATAAACGTTACCCTCATTTTCAACAACATGCTTACCCTTATTCTCACCAGCACAGACTGTCACTCAAGTCCAGAGTGAAGGTAAACAGGGAGTACATGTAGATACCAGGTAAATGTCAGCTCAGCAGCCGTACTTGTATTTCTTACAAAGTTTGTAGCACATTATTAACCTCTTTAATAAGCCAGGATATCATCTATAAAAATTCTGATTGCTGTTAGTTCTGTGACAGCCTTTCTGAGACACACAACTTGGCTTGGAATGAATGACGCATACCTGTTTTCTACCCGGTAGTATTCTACTAGATGCTGTACAAGCTCCGCCCCCTTTTTGGATTTGATATCATTCACCTTGATGAGGTACTAAAAATACAGGAGAGAAAATTTGTGTAGGATAATGCCAGATGCTTGATTTGATGAAACAGGGAGCTGGCTAGATAGGGTGCATGTACATACTGATACAGGTACATTGTAGGTTGGCCTGAGTGCAAGTGGGTGGGTGAAGGGGTTCAAGTGGGCATAATTGGGTTGGGTTTGGTGGGATGGATATACATGTAAATGTAATTTGGTGCGGAGGATCGAGTTGGGTACGACTGGGTTGAGTTGGGGTGTTATTTTTAGGTTTGGGCAGGGCTGGGTGGAGTTGAGGTGTTAAGGTTAGGGTTGGGCAGGGCTGGGTGGAGTTGGGGAGTTATGGTTAGGGTTGGGCAGGGTTAGGTTGGGTTGGGGTGTTATGGTTAGGGTTGGGCAGGGCTGGGTGGAGTTGGGGTGTTATGGTTAGGGTTGGGCAGAGCTGGGTGGAGTTGGGGTGTTATGGTTAGGGTTGGGCAGGGTTACCCCGGTAGGTTAAGTTGGGGTGTTATGGTTAACCACTTGCTGCTGGGTGCTTTAAAAAATGCAGTGCACACATATGGGTCATTTTCAAGATTTTCAGTTTTCAAGAATCTTCAAAAATTCATTTCATTTAATGGACGTTTACACCCACACGAATGACTGTTTGGTTGCTACTCTAAGCAGACAGGCAATCTTCATCGACCCCTTAGTATTTCAGCCAGGCCTGTTGCCCTGTAAAGAGAGCCCAGAATTCTTGAGGTGTTGCGTAATTTCCTTTGTCTCCAGTGAATGTAAGTGGCGTCTTTTCAAACCCAGCTGGATTAGCATGCAGCGGTGAATGTCACTCATCCATGGGGCCCTGGAGCACTTTTGTCTGCAATGCTAATTCGCGGGCGCGCTATGCCCAAATCAGTGGTATACTGTTTAAAAACAGTGACGGATTACCTTAAAAAATTGGAAGCCGAAAAATGATGGCAATCATTTCAATCAATCAAGCAGCAGGTCCTTTGTTCTGAGTACAGTCTTTTGTTACACAGACCAGCTCTTTTGTCCCATTTCGGGCAGCCCGGCTCTGCGCATAAACCCATGATGCTCGAAAAGGAGTTCCTCCCAGCAGCAAGTGGTTATGGTTATGCAGAGTCATGTGGGGTTGCTCTGGGTTAAGTCAAGCTGTGTTGGACTGGTTTGGCTTTGCTCAGCTTGCTTTATGTGGGGTCGAGTCAGGTTGAGTGGGTCTAGTGAGGGGGGTATGTATATGTAGGTTAGAAGGGATTAAGTTGGATAGGGTGGGGTGGGGTCAGGTCACGTCACAATCCAAGAAGGTCAGGTCAAATGGGAATTCATAAGCAGACAAGCTGGGACACACTAGAATGATTTGGGCATAAACTGAATTTCTGTTTGGTATTTCCCACGTGCCTGTAAAAAGCAGGCATCTTAAAATTTACTACAAATGCGTACTCTGCCTGTCCTTTTGCCAAATGGAGATGCCTACACTTATTTCCTGAATGACAAACATTTCAATTTTTAAGATCAGGCTTTGCCCTTACACCAATGAACATGTAAAGACACTGTATGCTACGGGGTTGGTGAGAGCTGGCAGAAAAATTCACAAGCTTCCTTGCACACATTGATGTAAGGGCAAAGTCAAACATTTGAAATAAAAAAACTCCCCGACACAAAGTGTATCTTTGGAAAAAGAAGATTTCCTCCACTTACCTCGCACATGTGAAGCTGAAACATTCTTCTTTCTTTCTCCATTTCTTCTGCAACCTGCAAGGTATAATATCAATGATCAGTTCAGCAATTTTGGTCATCAAATAAGGGAAAAAGGGTCAGTGATGTTGGATTGTGGAGGAAACTGTACATGTACCTTCAACAGAAACTTTCCTCAACCCTAACCTTCCCTAACCACACAGAAATGTACACCAGTAAAGTGTGTGAATTTGTGGCATTGGGTACTGTACCCCTAACTGCTTACAAATGTGCTTTAACATGGGTTCAGGCATACCCAAAATAAACAGAGTCCAACAGTTTTTGTGCACAGTTTACCATATGGTGTTGAAATTTGTGTGAATGGGTATGGTTCCTAGTAAATCACTCTGGGGAATTAAGATTAATCTTTGTCTTTCAGAACTTCAAAAAGTGTCCCATAAATTCCATTGCTGGGACATTTTGCTGTCATTTATATGTCTGGCTACATCTTGATACACTTCCAACCAATCTCTTATTACATCTGACAAACCCCTTCAAATTTCTAAACCCAGGTCAAGTTAGATGTACATGCAACCTTCTTCTGTAGGTCCAATTTGTCTCTTCCTTCCTGCTACAGGAAGACGGATTCTCCCCTTGGCATGGGTTTCAGGAAATTTTAAAAAAAATGTACATAATTTCTTGAGATACATCAAGGCATGAAGATGTGTTTAAATGCAGTGGCATATATGTACATGTACAGCACATGTACAAAAAATAACAATTTATGTCAACTTTTTTCTTCCATTTGTGACTGAAAACACTCTCCTTTAAATCTGTGTCAAAGAACTGTGAATGACGAATTATGTCCATTTCAGTAGCGTTGAAACTTTCTCATTATGTACAAGAACATCAACATGACCACATGAACATGTACACTACATTGCACCCTTGAGCAATACTTGAAATGCTCTCAAGAGTGCATTACTTACTGTTGCTACACATGAGAATGGTGTCCTAAAAAGGGCATATGGCTTAGATCACAACCCTGTAACTGCCTCAGTCAGCACTGACAAATTGGCAGGTTTACAACAGGCAATTGGGATGTGGTTCTTTAGGGGAATGACTGTGGGAATTTACAGAAGGTTTGGAAACCACAAGTTAGTTCAAGGATGGTTGCTAAAGACAAAATGGGTGACTGTTTTGACGAGTGTGGTATGGAGTTGGTGCAGGAAAGCAGTTTAGGAAAGGTGATAAATGTTAGGTCACCTGCGGTTAAGTTTTATATCAGAGGTTGCGTGTAATCAAGTGAGGTAGAATAAAAAAATTGGCCATATACATGTAGCTCTCTATGACTGTTCAACACCAGAAGAATCCTTGTCACAAAATGACTCGAGAATTCTCAAAGTCTATGATAACCCCTTAAAAAATCAACCTTGAACAAGAGGTTTTAAATCCATTGAATATAAATGGATTTTTTTAT